GGCAGGCTAAAAGGCAGCACAAAAGTCAGGAAATGCATAATAAAGGCAGGAATATGGAAGCAGAAACTGAGGACCTTACAGGTTTGTCACTCTTCCTTGGGTTTACTGGCACGTCAATATGTAAGGGAGGGTGGGAGGTATATTATGGTAGCAAGGGGGAGCCATTTTAATCCAGTTTCAACCAAGCTTCTATGGGCTTTGGATGGGTGGAGTTCTACAAATGGCTTTTAGGGACATAAACTCGGGGATTCCTGCACAAAGGAATTTTCTAGCTCCAAGCCATATAGTAATCTTGGGGCAGGGACCTCAAGTATACAAGAGAAAAGAGTCAAAAGAATAGATCTCATCTTAGCACTTCGCTTTTGCTCGCTGCTTGGCTGGACATGAAGGGTCAAGCTTTAATCCTCTCTTCCCTGGTAGGTAGGGGTTCCTATCTGCCCCACTCCAGCAAGTGGACAGAGCAGAGGAGACCTCACACCCAGTAGAGATTACAGGGTCCAATCCAGACACCTGATACCCAGCAGAGATAACAGACACCCAACAAAGACCAGTGTGATGATGCTTCAGAGCTGCTAACGTTTTCTACTGGTCTTTTCATGCTGCCTTCTGCTACTCTCTGCTGGGGAATAGGCCATATCAGTTAGACACAGGGTCACTTTGGCTGGGAATTGTGTCTCAGCTCTCCACGGTATGTCCACTGGCCACATCATCTCTGAATTGCTCTTTGCTGCCATCTTCTGAGCTGTAGTAGCCAGTAGGCCTCTCCTTTGCAAGGAGGTACCAGTCCAAATAAATGGATGCAAACTTCAGGAAGTCAATCTCAACTCCCCAAGGGCATCTTACTGTGGAGGAAGCAATTGAAGATAAAGCTAGACTATGAAGAATACAGGGTATGGGGGGGGGGGAACCAGCTAGGTGGTGCAGTGGATACAGCTCCAGCCTTGGAGTCAGGAGGACCTGAGTTCAAATCCCACTTCAGACACTTGACACTAACTGTGCGACCCCGGGCAAGTCACTTAACCCCAATTGCCTCGACCAAAAAAACAAATAAAATGCATGGTATCACACAAGTAACTGTTACTTCCTTTATGAGATGGCAGACCAAAAAAAAAATAAAAAGTCAATGATATATACTAGGTTAGTTTAAAAAAAAAGGCATAATATTCAGAGCCAAGAAGGATAAAGTTCCATTGGTTGGATCACCCCTATATCCTTACATTTGGTAAATTTAACCCCTTGGAGTCTGGATAGAGCACATACAGACATAAGGAGAAACTCTCTACCTTGGAAGTTCTCCAGCAGAGGCTGGTCCCCAGGGGGTCACTCTTATTAGCAAGTGCAATGATTCAATGGCCTGAGGTCCCTTCAACATCAGAAATTCAATGATTTTGCTCCAATTGCAATTCCCAATCAAGTCATTTAGTTTCATAGAGAAAAAAAGGTTCTTTGGCAAATAGATGGCCACTCACAAAAGAAAAACTGTGTAGAATGTGGCTACCTACCTAGACAGCCACTGTCTGTCACTGGGAAAATGGCTCAATCCATGTTAATCATCCCTGGGATCACAGATCTAACCTCAGAGCCATTCTTGTCCCTCAATCAATGAATCTGCAAACATGTATTAAATGCCTACTATGTGCCAGAACCTACCCCCAGCTAACATTCTTCTAGGTTCTTATTGTTGTTATTCAGTCATTTCAGTCATGTCCAACTCCTCCAGACCCCATTTGGGGTTTTGGCAAAGATACTGGAGTGGTGCACCATTTTCTTCTCCAACACACTTTACAGATGAGAAAACTGAGGCGAACAGTGTTAAGGGACTTGCCCAGGGTCGCACAGCTATCCAGTGTCTGGAGTCACATCTGAACTCAGTCCTCCAGACACCAAGCCCAGCTCTACCCGTTGCACCTACTGCCCCTTTTTCCATGTTAGGGGGACACAGCATGCTCACAATTAAATAGAAGGACCTTACAGACAAAACAAAGACAGGTGATTTGGGGAAGGGACTGTTCCCTTTGGTTTCTGATCCCCTCACCCTTCCTGGCACAGTGATTGTTCAGTAAACACATCCTGACTGCCTACCTTCACAAAGAGCATCAGAGCAAATTAGTAAAAACTGAGCTCCAGCGCCCTCAGGCTGGGGCGAATTCCAAAACTGGATTTCTGTCTGCCAGCTTTCTTTCTCTGAGTTGTGCCCTGAGAGGGCTCCGGGACCATACCCATCGACACCGAGGTGGCTTGTGTACCCGCCCCTGAGTACTGTAGTAAGGAGTGACATCACAGAAAGAGGCAGCGCAAGTCTTCGCCATTCTGCCCTCGATGGCACCAGCTGTAAAACCAGGGAGCTGGATCAGATGCCCCTAAGGCCCCTTTCAGCTCTAAAGCCTTTTGTGTCCTAGGAACAGCTCTCCATAAATAGAAGCAGAGAATAAGGCTTGTATTTTCTCTAATTATTTTACATTGGATTGAGCTGACATTGAGAAACACAGTTTGGGGGGTTGGGAAGGGCGGTGGTCCCTGCCCTCAGGATTTTACCTAGTGTGTTTAGGAATTTACCTAGTTTATTCTAGTGCGCTGGCTTAGAAGTCTTTCCCAACTCTGGACCGCCCAAGGGCAGACTTATTTCCAGCAGGATGCTAAGCCCACACTATATACAGGTCAAGAGATGTGATAGATTAGCTACCCAGGACCCCAGATTTGCCCCCCTCAGGGCCATTCAGCATTACCTCCGTCCCTTTGTGACATCCATTTACGCACAGCCCTGGCGTCAGGCTGCGGATGGATGCTTCACAAAGGCGGAAGAGCAATACCCCAAGGTGCCCAGGAGTGACCGCCTCCTTCACGAACGCTGACCGCACGTCTCCACTTCAGCCTCCTCCCCTTCCCCTGGGGGGCGATCCCTCCCTTAATCCTCTCCCCTTTCCTCCCTCTCCCCACCCCCTCTTCCTGCTCAAAGGCCCTTCTCCCTTCCCAACCTAAAGGTCTCATGAGCCTTTCCAGGACTCCAGCCTAACCATCCCTATTCTTCCCCCTCAGCCTAAAGGTCCCAAGAGCTCCCAACCCCACCTTGAAAGTCTCCTCCTTCCTTTCCCCTAAACCTAGCTCCCCAGCTTCCATCTCAGCCTCCCCCGCACCCCTCTCTACGTAAAAGCTCACTTTCTAGCCCCTCCTCTAAGTCCCCATCCCCACCCCCCTACCGCAGACCTCTTTGCCTCCACCCAAACCTGAAGGTCTCTTCTCTTCCTCCAGCTCCCCCCAGTCTAGGGGCCTTTCACTCCTTTCCATCCTCTACCTCATCCAAAAGTTCTCAATTTGGATCCTCTTAGGGTCCCGCCCCCTTTCCCAGCCTAGGCCTCACGCTCCCTCCCCACCTCACCCCCCCCAACCTTAAAGGTTCTGAGCCCCCTTCCCCCTCAGCCTTAAAGATCCAGGGCCCTCTCCCCACGCCCCTGCTTTAGGGGTCCCTTTCCCCCCTGCCCCGCCCAATTATAAGGGTCCCCTCTCCCTCCCCTCCAGCCTCCTCCTCCTAAACAAACTCCCTCACCGTCCCTGCCCCCCTCCTCCTTAGGGGTCCCCAGCCCCTCCAACGGTCCCCTGCGCTCCCCACGGCCCCCCCGAACGGTCGCGCGTTCTCCCACTCCCCCGCACAACCGCGCCCCCTCCCACCCTCTCCCAGTCACCTGGGCCCCCGCCCCCTCGGGTCCCCGCTGGGGACGCCCTCCCCCTTCCCCTTTGCTCCCTCCCCCCGCCCCGCTCCCCTTTGGACCTGCGCTGCCCCCGCCCCTTCCGCTCCGCCTCCCAGTCCGCCGCGCCCTGGCCCCGCCCCCAGCCTACAGCAACCGCAGGGCCCCGCCCCCGTGGTTCCTCCCCCCGCTCTGGCCCCGCCCCCAGGCCGCGGCCCTCGCTGATCCCTTCGCCGTCTCACGCCCTCTGCCGGCGGCTGCCCTGAAGAGAGAGTCTCACCCCGAGGGGGCCGCCCAGGAGAGGAGGCGGGACATCCGCCCTCCTTTCCGGAAGTGACGCGAGAGTGTCAACATGCAAGATGGCGGCGCATCACAGGCAGAACACGGCGGGGCGGCGGAAAGTGCAGGTGAGGGGTGCCGGGGGCGGAGCACGGGGGCCTCCAGGGGCCGCCCCACCCCAGCCCGGGAGCCTCCCGAGCCCCGCGGGCCGGGCCTCACCGACCCAGCGCCGAGGCCGCCGCGGGGGACGGAAGGTGGGGGGAGGCGGGAGCGGAATCAGGCCGGCCTGGGCCCAGCGGCCCTGGCGCGCCCTCAGGGGGTCTGAAGGGTCGGGGGGGGGTCCGAGGGGCCGAGGCCTCAGGCTCCCTTCCGTCCTCCAGCCCGTTGGGCTGTGGGGCCGCGGCCGCCCGTGACCGTGGTCGTGGCCCGCGCCCGCAGTCTCAGAGCCGGGGGCGCCCCCGGAGGTCACCGACCCCGGCCGACCCCGCCCTGGCCCCCGGCCCGGAGGAGGCTACGAGAGCCGGTCACCTCTGCCCCCCCCAAGGGGCTGCTCTGGCAGACGGCCCCACCCGTGGGACTGGGGTGGGAGGCAGCTGTCACCCCCGAGAAGTCCCCCGCGAGCAGGGAGGCCGAGGGCGACCGTCAGCGTGTGGGCCCCTCCCCCGGCCGGGCCTCCCACGCCCAGCCAGCGACCCCCCCCGCTGACCTGGCGCCCCCGGGAGCCAGAGGCCGCCTGGTCCAGTCCGCAGGTTCCGCGACGGCCGCCCCGGTGTCCCCGTCTCTGTGTGTCACGGTGCCCTCGGGCCGGCAGGACTGGGTCTTCCCGCGCTCGTGGCCAGCGGGGCGGCGGCCCGACGTCGGTTAATGTCTCTGGTCAGCCCCGGGGGGGCCGGATCTTGGGGGTAACTGGCAGGCGTTCTGGGGAGGACTTTTGTTGTGCCGGTGCCCCCAGATGGCTTGTGTTCGCTCTGCTGAGACCCCGGAGCCAAAGAAACTTCACCTCTGGAGCCGGGCTGCAACTTTCACTCAGCGGACAGATTTGCTGTTTTCATTGTGTGAGGTGCATAGCCCACCTGTGGCCTTTGGACAGTTCATGCACACAGTTGGGGGGGGCATCCCCTTTGCTTTGGGGGAGGTTTTTTTCTAAGGTTCTTTTCTCACAGGAAATAGTTCCAGCCTGGGTCTTGCTTAGTAAGTCTATGAAATATGGAAATGTATTTTAATTTCTAAAGTTAGGTGGCATATCACACGGAGGCATTAGGCTTCTCCCGACCCACTTGCATGGGTGCCTCGGGGTGGCTAGTGATGTGACTTCACACCCCATTCTCTGCTTTATTAATTGTAACTTCCATTGAGAGCGCCTAGGAGCCGAAGCAGGGCACTGCAGGCATCATTCCGCCTGTACGCAGCTCTCACTCCAGCCGACCCGGCCGGAGTTCTTTCCGCCAGGACTGCCTTCCTGACAACCTGAGGGTAGTTAGCTGCCCAAGTGTCAGCTCCGTGAGGTCAGGCAGGGTGGGCTGTTTTGGCCTCCCTAACTATATAGCGGCATCGTAGCGTTTAATGGACAAGGATCCCTAATTTAAAAATACACTCTTAGTGAAATAGCAGAACAACAGGTGAACACCCGTTCTTCCTGCATGCCGAACATCAGCCCTGCTAGGGCATTAATTAGACAGTAACTTGGTTTACCTAATGTATTGCATGGTGGCATGTTTGAAGTGGGCTGGGATCACCCTCTCACAACAAAATCGTCACCTCAGCTAACGTATCACCCTGCAGACCCAGGCCCTTCAGAACATCCTTGGGTCTGTTTCTCTTAAGAGTCTCAGGTAACGCCTGAGAGAAGCTCAGGTAGTGGTTATTTAACAAGAGAAGTAAGAGAACTCTTTCTTCAAAGATAGGATTTATCTAAGTTTATCTTTAGACAGAGGTTCAACTATAATGGAGGGGAGTTTTTCCTGTAGTTGTGATATTATTATATTAAACTTCTGTGACAACTCATTAACTCTAAATATGTCTGCACATATGCCTGCTTTTGGAACCTGATAGCATTTTGCTAAAAATTTAAATATGTGCTAGCTTTATTTAGTATGATTAATATGGATGCTATTTTAGGTTGAGAATATGTTTATGTAGCTACTATTGATGATGCTTGGCAAAAAATCATCACTTTGAACAAAATTTAATGTACAGAAAAAGATTATCACCATTATTCTCGACTTACTTTTTTTTTTAACCTCAAAAGCATTCAGTAACAAAACTTTTATGCGGCATTATTAAACAGTCGTTTTGGGAGTGGCAGGAAACAGTGAGTGTCATGTGGAATGTGGGGGTGAAAAAACAATATTAGTTACTTTTCATTGAAAATGTTTTGGTCTAGTTGTTGCCTGTACCAAGAAGGTTCCATTCAGTCACTAGTTGATTGGCTAGCAGGCCTCTTGCTGGGTTTTTATTTTTGTTTGTTTTTTTTTAGCATTCTGTTGTCTAGTCTTGTCTGTTGTCTCCATGGGTCTTGGAAGTGCCACAGCTGACTTGCTGTAAAAAAATTCTGTTTCTAACCAATTGGAATCATGGTGCTAGATATATTGCAGGCACCCACTAACAGAGTTTATTATCTGATGTTCACTGGAAACAATACCTTCTCCTCTTACCAAATGGGTTTCGTCTCAGGTGTGAATTAATCATCACTGAAAATGACTGAACAAAATATTTATTAAGCACCAACTGTGTGTCAGGCCCTGAAGATACAAAGACAAAAAAGAAGCAATCCTTGTCCTCAAGGACCTTATGGATAAATATATGCAAAATAGTGGGGGGGGGTGTCACATAGAAGAGTGGTGTCAAACTCAAATAGAGACAGCCTCCCGCTGTTCCACACATAAGGATGTAGGCTGCAGATTGACTTAATTTTAAAATATATTATCATTTTATTGCATTTTTACTTATTTTGCTCAATATTTCCCAATTGCATTTTAATGTGGTTTGAGCCATGCTCAGGTGTGTTATAGGCCACATATACCCTGCAACCTTTGGGCTCAGTGTTTGACATCTCTGATGTAGAAGGATCTGTGGCCCAGGTTTGAAGGAAGCTAGGGATGCCAGGAATCCACACAGGTCGGGGGGGGGCATCCTTCAGGGATGGGGAGCAGACAGCAAAGAGACAGGAGACAGTGTCCCGTGTGAATTACAGCCAGAAAGCTTCTGTAGATGGTAGCAGACCTCGTGAAAGAGAAGAGGAGGGTCCAGAACAGTCTTGGAGTGAGGACTATAGATCATTCAGGGTGGTTGGAGAGCCAGCCTCTAAGCCAGGACGATGTGACCCATGACCAAGCAGAGCTCCGGGCAGCTCTGTGACCATGTTTCAGAGAACGTTCTGACTTAGAAGAAATTTCCCATCTTGGAGTTCACTGTACCGTTGAAATCATTGGGTCTGTGTGTGATCAGGAAGAAGTAGATCCCACTGAGTAATGGCTAGGTCCTTATCAGCCAGGTCTGTAGTTGCCTGAAAGAGCACCTACAAGTCATCTTTAGTTGGGCGAGTTAATTGAATGAATGAGCATTTATTAAATACTTACTAGGTGCTAATGTCTGTGCTGAGTTCTGGGGATACTGGTAGAAAAAACAGTTCCTCACCTCAAGTAATTTACGTTCTAACTGCAGTCGCTACATGAGGGAGTGACGGCCAGGGAGGGGCACTGTAGTGCAGAATGTTACAGGGATGGTGAATAGAGACACAGAGCAATAGATTGACATGCTGCATCCAAAAATGATGATAGGGTTGCTTTGTTCATGGTTCTAGAGCTGTTGGAGAGAGGAAAGGAGGTTTGAAGTTTTAAAGGACTCTTTAATAGTTGGCAGGCAGCAGCTCAGACTCAAACCTGGTTACCTCAATAAGAAAGCAAGTCCATAAGAGAGCACTTATACTGTGTAGGTCTCCAGCTAGGCCCTGCCTCCAGAAGTATCATTCTTTTAAAGGAAAAAACTGTATTGTCATCCAGATCATCTGAAAAATACCAGATGAAAGGCCTCACTCAGGTTTTACACCAGCCAGATTTAGGGAGAAGATGCTTCCTAGAGCTGGAGCAGTGTGTTGTGTTCCTTGTATGACCTTAAGCCAATCACTTCCTTTCTTTGAGTCTCAGTGATGAGAGCAGGTGATCTCTTGGGTCTTTTTCTCTCTAAAGAGTGAATTCTTCCTGAATTTTTGATGGTGCTGGCTCCTGCTATCTCAGGTCGCCTGCATGTGTAATTCGAGTAGTGAGGGCATCAAAGTGATAAATGCTCCACAAGTCACAGTTTCCAGAGGCCCCTCGTTTACAGCTTAGATCGGAAACAGAGAACTAAGATTCCTCACTGATGACGATATCATGAGATGGGCTTTCTTTGAATTATGAGGAGTTCTGTCATCCAGGCATCACTTTTTCTTTGTTTTCTATTTTAACATCATGGAATAAACTTTTAAAGTTTAAGTTGGATCTTGAGAAGCCATCCAGTCTGACTTTCTGTCCAATGCAGGAATCTATTTACAATGTAACTAAAAATATATATAGCACTTCAAGGTTTCCTCACATTTTTTGAGCCTGGAAACAGTCCCATCAGGTATTATGATGATGATGATGATGATGATGATGATGATGATTAGTTAAGGGGGGGTTGAGGCACTTAGGGTTGAGTGACTTGCCCAGGGTCACACAGCTAGTAAGTATTTGAGGTCCTTCTGAATTCAGGACTGGTGCTCTCTCCACTGTGCCACCCAGCTGGGGGCCCGCTCACAGCAGTCCTTAGGTGTAGATCATGTAAATTTTCATTTTCTAGATGAATGAAATAAAAGTGAGATGGGAGGACTTGTTCAAGGTCATGCAAATGTAAGTTACATAGCCAGAATTTGAACCCACACCTGCATGCCCACTGTCATCTCCCATCTCCCTCACAGTATTCCTGTTAGATCTCCAGAATCTCCAGACCTTAGAGCTAGGAGGGACCTCAGGGGCTCTTCGATCCAACCTGGACCTCCCCTAGACTACCCTCTATGATACATCTGACAAGTGACCATTGAACCTTTACCTTAAGATCTTCGTTGAAATTTGTGCCTTACAGTGAACACTACATTAAATTTTTAATTTAATTTTTATAATGAAATAATCTGTCTTGAGGTTTATGACCATCCTCAAAACATTTCTGCTAACCACTGCTGTCCTTGTTGAGATGGCTGGGCCTGAAGCACAGCTGGTATAAAGCTGAAAAAAAAGTTCTTTAGGTGGGACAATGGCCAGCTTCCCTCCCACCCCAGGGGCAGTTGTCTCTAATGAAAGGCCTGGCATTGTTTGTGTTGAGTTGAAATCTCTTTCCCTTTAGCTTCCAAACATTGATCCAGCTGATCAGAATTTTTCAGAAGTCATCAATACTTCAGCTACTAAATTAATCTATCAGTAAAACCTTCTTTTTGAAATACTCCAGGCATCAGGGACTAAGTTGAGAACTAGATTCTATTTCTTCCTTTTCTCATTTACATTACTTGGGTGTCAGTCTAAATTACATCTTACTCTCCACTAAAATCAGTTCTTTTGGCTAATAGTGGGTAACAGTTTCCCACACTTGGCTTTGTTTTGTGCAAAGCACCCCTGTGCTCTAGCCTCAAAAATATAACAGGAGCTCAGCCAGTTATGCCGGCTCCTTCCTGCTGGGAGAGGAAAAGGTTGTGGGCAGTGAGAGAAGAGAAGATAGATATGCCTCCTGACCACCTATAGTCAGTAAAAAGTATTCCAGGACAAGAGCATTTGGAGAATGGTCCCTTGGAGTTTCTTATAATGGAATTCAACTTGAATCCTTAGAACACTGCAATCAACACAGGAAACTATGAACTTGGACCAGGAGTGCCTTAGAAATGAGTTCTTCAAAGGCTGTGAAGGGGCCAGAAGGAGGAGCTTGGTATCCCATAGTTGGCTGAGAGGCAAGATGTGGTTGGGTTGGGGGATGGGGAGGGACAGTGGGCTTCATTCAGCTTCTCTGCTAGAGGAGGAACCTAGATAGGGGTCTTGCTGATAAGTTTGTCTTTCA